ATAAGAACACTGGCAGGTCTGAGATAAACCTTACAATGTATAATTGATTCTATATGAGATTATAGAAAGAACCATGTATAGATATGAGCAGTATGCTGATATAAATCAATGTGTAAATATTATAGTGTGGAAACAAGAAAACTAGAAGAGGGGTAGAGGGAAGTGCTAATCCTGAGAGTTTTAGGTTACTAATATTGTAAGAATGTATAAATATATAATATGAAAATCAATGAAAACAATTGCAAAAAAAGGTATGGTCTTTTCAAGTTCAGGTTCTACAAACACTGAGGGCCAAAAGAAACACGATGTGGGAGATCCTCTGACAAGCTCTCCAAATGTTTTGTTTCGTTCACTCAGATTCCCCCTCAGAGGCATGCTCACTTGCTCAGGTAAACATAAAGGCATGTTTAAACTCCTCCACCCCAAGGGAACTATTTGTCTGATCTAAATTGCACCCAAAGCTCTTGCTATTGGGAGGAATATTAGCTCAATGGGGGCAGAAATACAGGTGCATCTCCATCCATATTTCTGCCCCCATTGAGCTAATAGCACTGGTGGCAGGGGAGGCAATTAAGATGGAGCAAGCTGCAAAGGGGTTAAACACTCCCTCTTGCCCCTTGCTGCTTGATCATACTAGCCAACCACCACCCTGGGGAAAAGAATCTCAGATCACAGTTCCCCTGTGTCATGCTTGCTTGGGCCCTAAATTGACAGCACAGGGGGGGGGGGAATACACACATACCCTGCGCCACAACAAGGTGGGGGAGCAAAAAACTACTTCCATGTGCTAAGTACACCTCTGGCTGTGTCAAAATATCTGTAGGAGGACTCGGGGGGGGGCTCCTATTTTGCCAGGGAAAGAGGGAAAGGCCAGGCAGTCGAGCAGCGACCATTGGCACATGGTGGGGGTGGACAGCTGCTCCTGCAGCACCTGGATGGGAGTCACTAAGAGGTGCCTGGCTGGCAGGTGGCCAGCGGTGAGCAGCCCTGTAATTTATGCTTTCTGGTCCCAGCTGCCGGGAGCGTGATTAGGAGGGAGGCAGCGAAGGAGGGAGGGTGCCTACGTGCATTGGCAGAGGGGGCTTCTGGAGGAGCAGGGAGAGGGCTGCTATTAGGTTGGGAAGAAAAGCTTTTAATGAGGCCTGGTGTCTGCTGATCCGGCAGTCTGCATGGATGCCGTCCAACCTCGCAATAGAGTTACCCGCTTAAACAAAAACCGCCAAAGGAGCTGAGCAGGGAAAAGAACACATTTTCCTGTGTAGCAAACTGTGAAGTACAATCAGGAATATACAGCAAAACCCTCGGAAACCAATTACCGTTTGTGAGAACCAAACTGCTAAAAAATACTCCCCCCCCCCGCTTTTTCTTCTGCTCCAGCAAAAGGGAAGAAGTGCTGAGCCATCAGGATGCCGACCCCTCTTCCCGAGGCCCCTCCTCACCCTCCAGAACACAGCCTGCCTGGGGAGAAGGGAAAGAGTGGGGAGGCTGGAGGGAGCATACCACAGCTGACAAGACCTGGGTTCAAATCTCAAGGTTTGTCGCAAAAGACGCTTCTAGACTGTCACTGTTTTCAGGTGGGATATAGCCACAGACCAACAAATTCAGGTTGTGCAATTGTAGTTGATTGGGAGGCCTTGCCCAATAAACCCACTTCCCAAAAATTTTGGATTGTTTTTTCCTGATAAGGAAAGCGGGCAAAGAGGTGGGAAGTATGGGACGACAACCGCATGATGCAACTGTTGCATAACCTCTCTGCAATTGAATCAGAGTAACTGCCTGTAATTATCCAGCTTCATCTCACCTCCTTGCAAGCCTTCCTGGAAACAAATCTGGAAGGCAAACAATAAACAAGTCATCTGGAAGCTACTAAAGTGAAGGGTAGGAGACATCACAGAAACAAGAAAGCATCGCCACCAGACTTCCCTCCAGCTGTTTTGGACTACAGCCTCCTCCAGCCCCAGCCAGCACAACTATATTCCAAAACAGCTGGCACGCACCAGGTTGAGAACAACTGGCCTATACTCTTGCGTTCTAAAATGGCACCACTCCTTGGGTGCTTGCCGTCCTTGGTGAGGACAGGTCAGTACTCGGAAAGCCTGGTGCCATTAATGGAAACCCCCATTTTACTGCAAACTTTCACAATTCACTTGGCAGATTGCTGTGCAGCTCAACCACACTGAGTCTCGAATGCGAGGGCTATCTGGGAGCAAGAGATTTCCTCTCTCAAAGGTGGGAAGCAGACCAAGTGGCTGGCTTAATCGAAAGCAAGGGAGTACCCACTGAACCCCCAGGCTGTTCTTGGCGTAGAACAGGACAGGAGTACAGGCTCTTTTTCAGGGAATCTCCTATCTTCAAACAGAGCCCATGAATGTTTTGTGGTTGTTTATTTTCTTTCTTTCTTCTTTTCTTGGTCTTGACAAAAAAAATCAGAAGCTTGAAGTGGGCAGCAACAGCACAGGAGAGGTTCAGTCTGCTCCAGTAGGGCTCTCCCTATGTATGTATGTATGTATGTATGTATGTATGTGAATGTATATGTATACACATACGTACCCGGTTTTCATGGGGCAGGTGTTTTTGGAGACTTCTGGAGAAGGTACCAAATTCTATAAATTTTCATAAGGTGTAGGGTGCAGGTTTCAAAATTGTCTTTCTTTTTTTCCTCTTTAGAAAGCTGTGCTATCACTTTAGGTAGCAATCAGCAGATCAGCACTTTTCAGTCCCAATAATATGCCCCAATGGGACTGATGCGACATCTTCATGATGCCATATAGATTCCCAGGGGTGTTGTAAGGGGGGACAAAAGACTGCCCCCTCTAGCAATGTTTATCTAGCAGGGCTCCTGTGCCTCTGACTGTGTAAGGAGAAAATTAAGAGAACTGTAAAGTTGGAAGGGATCCCCAAGGGCCATCTAGTCCAAACCGAATAAAAAACCATTTAAGTTCACCTGATGAATTGGTCCTTGTCCCACAGGTATAGAAAGTGGAGGAGCCCTGCCAGAGAAAAAAGCTGGCTACCCTAGTTGGAAGAAGTATTGAATAGGTTTGAAAAGCTCAGGTGGGTCTGAGATTATTTACAGCACTAGCTTGATGTTGTAATGCAGGTCTGGAAAGAAGGGAAAGGCAGAAATGATCTTAACCGAGCCAGATTTCTCTCCATCAACTTGTTCTGCCCACCTACTTCTCTCAGCATTAAATTAATTCAGTTCTCTGTTAATGCTGGCCATTTCCTCCAACTGTTTTGGTAACAACCCTATTAGCAAGACTGCTGGAATGTACCCCTTGGATTTGTTTCAACATCTTTCTTTCAGGTTCTCTTGTGAAAAGTGAACATGCTGATGTGAATGCAAAATATAATTCTCCTTGGCAAAATGACAGAGAACGATTGCCAGGTTGTCCCAAAGAGCTTAGGGGCTCAGAGAGAGACTCTGCCTGAAATTTCAGATTATAGTTCAGAGGCTGGCACACACAAAGGCCCAGTTGTGGGGATAGTGTCTTTAGTACAGCATCCTTTCTATAGGGAACCAATCCCCAAATAGTGCTGAAGATGCAAAAATAAAACAAAATAAATTATCTTGGTGATTTGCTTACGAATTGTAAGCAATGGTAGCTGGAGACAAGAGGATATAATTGCTAAGGTGTCAGCCAGTAAAGGTGTCCCCCCCCCAGTCAAAATTCCACTGATGGTTCTTCTTATATATCAAGTCAGACCTTAACCTCAATATTGTCTCTACGCTGACTGGCAGCAACTTGCTGGGTATTGGGAGATACTGGGTATTGAACCAGGGACCTTCTGCATGTTAAGCAGATGTTCTACCACTGAGCTACAGCCTTTCCCCCTTCATATGTGAGCTCAGAGCTAAATTTATTACATATCTGGGAAGGAAGGAAGGAAGGAAGGAAGGAAGGTAGGTCAGGGGTGAAGTTGACATATTACTAGACTACTATCCTGTCGGGCAAATAATAAGCATCATGAAGATATGTTAAAGCTGTCCTTATAAGGTTAATTCAGTAGCATTATGCGTAACACAGGAAATTATCCTTAATAAGATATTTGGGAACTCTTTCTGTAGAACCTGTGTGCTGCAAATACCATTTGCCAGTCTATAACAGCAGAGCCTTTGAATTGTGCATTCTATCTATAGGCAGCCATTATTCCAGCAAGTTTCTACTTTGACTTGTTGCACACTCTTCAAGGACATCACAGAATGCAGTGGCATCTCTTAATACTGAATAGACTCAACTTCTCTCATTGTTATATATTTTGTTGCTGCTGCTGTTGTTGATAATCTGGTTAAAATGCATGGAGGTAGACTCTTGCATACCAGGGAGTGGGGACGTTCAGGCATGATTTTTTAGGTTTGTATGTTTGGACGGCCCCATTTAATTACATGCCAACCAACCAACTAACCAACCAACTGGTTAATGGGGACAACCCATCAAAAAACCCATCTGGAGCTAAACAGATTCTTTCTCCTCATAGAAACTCTTTTATGTCAGACACTTTTCTGAAAGAATCAGTGACTGAAGCTTCATCCTCCTGAATGTACATCTTTGGTAAATCGTACAATACAGTCAGTACCATGATTCTGGTCTATGCAATTCCTGCTCCTTTTCCATCGCAGCCACCAGATGAGCCAATGTGCCTTGAGATCAGCTATATTAGTTTCACAGCCACTTTCCCCACCTGCTGAGACCCATTTTCAGCAGCTGGTGCCTTCTTAGGAGAGTCCCCAACTTTGGGGGGGGGGGGAGGCAGGAAGTCATGCCAGATAACATGTTGCATGAAGAGGCAGGAGCATGAAACTGGGGAAGGAGGGAGCAAAGGGATCTAGGGCAAAGGAGGGAAAGGGCAGGCCCTGAATCTGCAAGACGCAAAACACATACCAAATAACAACACCCCACGAGCAGATTGCAGAAACATATGTCTGTGCACATATAACGAAGTTCAGAATTACAATGCTGCCGTGCTTCCACAGGCACGCAGCAAATGCCGCCTGCAGTCACGTGCCATGTAAGCTGCAATGTAACAAGATGTAATGGCAATCAGTGGATCTTCTAGACATTTAATCGTGGTGTTAGTAATTAGGGAACGTATCCGTCCTTTTGACAGATCTGTGCTCGAAACTGCAAAGGCCATCTGCTCTCATAGAACCGACTCCCTGAATCCCAGAGGAGGTGGCTGCCTGGCTAGCAAGGGCGGGGGAGGAGGCAATGATTTATGGAGGGAGGAGGGTTGTGTTGCACAACTAGTCTTGCCGTGGGCCCCTCAAGAGAGACCCCTCTCCCTCCATTGGTTCCCTTACCACCTGTTGTTTGTTTCGAGATTCTTCATCCCGGGGCAAGAGTTTTGATTAGTGTCGGCCAGTGATTCTGGGAGAGGAAACAAGAACAGGAAATCCAAGAGAAAGAATTATACCTGCACAGAGGAGAGTGGCACAAATTATTATTAGTAGTAGTAGTAGTAGTAGAATTTATATACCACCCTATAGCCGGAGGTGTTGGAGTGTGTGTGAGGGAGACTTATTAGAAGACTGTCTGGTTTAGGGGGAATCTGGAGCATTATAAGCAGCAAAGAGCCATTCGGATTATAGATCTGCAAGGGGCTCATTTCAGAATTCAGGGGAAAGGACAAGATTCACTGCAGAACTCAAAGCCCAGCTCTTGTATATGGAATCATAGAATTGGAAAGCACCCTGAGAGTCAAATAGTCCTACCCCCTGCAACGCAGGAATCAAGATTAAGCCACAAAAGTAGTGCATTTTAAGAGCATTTGCTGTGGTTCCTTTTTAGACTTCATAATAACCAGGTGCCATTATGTGTGGTCTGAATCTGCTCCCTCTGTAAACGGCATTCCTGGAGATCTGATTTAAAATTCCACAGTCTTGGCAGATCTGACAAAGTTGCTCATACAGGTCAGTGACATACAATCTGTAAACCATTTTCGGGCTACAGCCAGGGAAGAAGCTGGAGAAGAGCAAAACTCTCACCGGTGCAGGTGACGATAGCACAATATCACAACATCCTTAACAATCTCCAGCTAATATCCTGCCTGATGGAGCGTGGCTGATAGGATTATTTATTGCCTCAAACGCGGCACAGGTGCCCAATGGCAAAGCTGCCAATCAGCAAGCAGCTACCCACATTGCCGCCTGCATAAATTACCTGCTTGGGGGACCCTGTGAGTGTAGGAGGGAGAGAGTGAGAGAGACGGGTGGAGGCAAAGCAGGCCAGGACCAAGCAGGCCACAATTAATCCTTGTTAATAACCTCTTGAATGCCAGTAGGCACATGCAGCACAACAGATGCATTCCTGCACTTTGGGGCTCAGAAGTACATCGTTGTGCCAATTCATAGCCACACACACAAACCCAGCTTGCTTGGTTTGATATGTCCTTTTGTTCTCTAATTCCTTTTGTTTTTCTCTGAACGCTGCAGACTAGTGTTTTGTGGGTTTTTTTGCAGGGGTGTATTCTGCAAGTGCCGTAGAGGCAAGAATAGTGCATCAGTGGTAAGGTTATACTGTATCGTTCACACATCAGTCTGCTCTAGTAGGGTTCTTCGGTGCTTTCCCAATGTTACTGCATCATTGCTGTCCGGAGGAATGCTCTTGTACTAGAGTGCAACAAAAGCAGAACAAAAAAAACCACAACCAAACAATCTGGAGTGTCCATGGTATAAAAAGTTCATGGTATTAAATGCAAAAGTTGATATGCACAGATTGGAAATGAAGTACTATTATTGGCCAAAAAAAAAAGGTGCAAAAAGTATTGAAAGTGGGATTGTGTTTAACTGGCTTGATACCACCAAAAGCATGAATAATTATGAATGCACAAGAAGAAGGACATCTGGAGTGACCCATCGTTAAAAGACAAAGAGGCGGGTTCTTTCTTCAAGACAGAGAACTGAGCATGTGCTTGGTTGCAGGCCTCTTCTCCTTCACTGGATGTTTTTAAGTAGAGGTTGGATTGCCATCTGTTGTGGATACTTCAGCTGAGATTCCTACATTGCAGGAGGTTGGACTAGATGACCCTCGAGGTCCCTTCCAACTCTATGATTCTATGTCCATTTGCAAATTGCTTTGGCACCATGCAAATAAAATGGAGGATACCTAGAAATAGCTTCCCCAGAAAGTAGGCAGGTGGTTTGAGCTTCTCAATGACATTGCTCTTCCTTTCGCTGCCCAGCAAATCTGTTGAACTAGCCCTCTTTGGAACATCTCTCCAGCCTTGTTCCCACTCCAACTGCAAATCCCTAGGGGAGTAGCTCAGGAGTAAGGCACCTACTTTGCATGTATAAGGTCCCAGGTTCAATCGCTGGCTTCTTAATAGGACAGACCCTCCAAGTGTCCCTATTTTCCAGGGACAGTCCTGGACTTACAGAAGCCGTCCCAGTTTCTAATTTGATGCCAGAATGTCTGACTTTTCCTTAGGAAGTCCCTATTTTCATGAGAGAAATGTTGGAAGAAATGGAGTTATCCAATCCCCGAGCCATCTGAAGGCAGCCCTGTATAGGGAGGTTTTAAAATGTTTAATGTGTTATTATGTTTTTTTATATGTTGGAAGTTGCCCAGAGTGGCTGGGGCATCATAGTCAGATGGGCAAGGTATAAATACTACTACTACTACTACTACTACTACTACATTCCTATTTTCATCAGAGGAATGTTGGATGGTATGATAGGATGAAAATAATTAGGCAGCAAGAGATCCTGCACAGGAACTACCAGTACATACAATGGATGTGGTTTAAGGCAGCTCCCTATGTTCCTGTATTTTTCCGTAACAGTCCTGTCTGCTAAGCACATGGCTAGATCTTCTCATTCCCCAAGTCCCATGAGATCAAGCCCTAAGCATTTCTGAATGGAACCAGGAGCACTACCTGAAGTACATCTTGGCTCCAGCCTCCTAGCCTCCTTCCTAAGTCACTTGCCATTAGGAGAGTTTGGATAGGGAGCAGGGAGAGTGCCCAGCAGGTAGTCCCTGGAGCTCAAACTTTCCTGGAAGGTACATCCTCTGATTCTGAAACTCCCATAAGCACTTGGAGCCCATTACAACTGCAGTTCTTCCAATGCTCAGCAGTAAGCTGGTGCAAAATCCTGGTGCAAAATTAATTTTCCTGTTGTTAACAAGGAGGAGGATCACTGGGTAGGTCTGAGCTGGGAGGGAACAACTGACCTCCACCCAGCAACTGAGACAAATGCTAACCTCCAAATATATGTCATGCTGTACATTTTCAGAATTCTTTACTTCCTCTCACAACTATTCCCAGTGTGTTGATTGCCAGAAAAGGGTGTGTGATTCACAATGCCTTTGACTGCTGGGTGGTAGTGGAGAAAGAGGTGGGTTTCTAAAGTTTATTTTTAACAGCTTTAGTCCTGAGGCCTTTCAACATAGGGTGTATTATTATTAGTATTATTAAAAATCTGCACAGCCATAATTCCTGCTCTTCGATCACGGTACTTGCCCACTGTTTAGAGCATCTGGGACTTGACGCTTGGCTATAACAACTCTCTGAAGGGCCATTTCAGCAACTGAACGGAGCCAGAAGATCAAAGGATTACAGCCGTGTTCTTCTGACTCCCAGTGAAAAGCACAGGCCTCATTGATTTCTGTCAGTGATGTTCCCTAGTGTCCCAAACCACGGGCAAAATGGCCACCTCTCATTGTGGCCCCACTGAGGGCCCTCTCTATGACCTTGTGGAAGCTGTGAGAAATCCTTCAGGACAAGTGGTGTCCCCCTTAGCAGGTTCATGGTGAACCTGCTTTGCAACTTGCTGCCATGGCTTTCGACTTTCGTTGGGAGGTGCCATATTTTGAAGAAAGTCAAATCCTTATGTGGACCCAGCTAATCACAACCTGTGCCTAGAACAGGGAATGGGGAAGCTGTGGCCCTCCAAAGGTAGTTTGGTTCCAACTCCCACCAGCTCTACCCAGCATAGCCAGGGGTGATGGGCTTGTAGTTCAGCAGCATTGGGGTGCAAGTGGTCACACCTTCCCCATCCCTGGGCTTAGGGGAGTTTTCACGCATATGCTTTTCAAGCACCTTCCACTGCACACTCATAGGTTATTTGTTCAGGCCCTGAATTGGCAGCTACTAAGGGGCAGCATCATTCATACACCGTACAGAAGCAGGCACCATGTTTCTTATTTAAGCCTTTTCCTTGGAACTCCCTCTCCATCATGCTTTGTGCATTGTTTCTCGCTGCAAATTGCTGCAGCGCGGATTTATTTCTACAGGCCTGCTTCCTGAACAGACCTCTTAATCACGACATTGCGCTAGGTGGTAATTATTTTATTATTCATTTAGCAGGTGAATATTTCTGCAAGGCCTCAAGAAGGCTAGGCTTCTGTGTGGTGCTTGCTTTGGGAAGGGGAGGGCTTCAAACAGCGTAGCTTTTCTTTTCTCTTTTTTTTCCTGTGGGGCTTTCGGGAGTTCAGGCATGTTATGCCATTTAAAGCAATCATTTTAAAGAGAAAGCCATTGAGCTTTAGCAGCCAAGAGTGCTCTCAAGGGTCTCAGGGGCAGGCAGGGAAATTCCAAATGTCAGGGGAGAATTGTTTACAAGTCCCCAATGATTTTTCAGCCTGGCAGATGGATGCTGACATTTCTCGGAATAAAGTACCTGGGTGTGTGTGCATGTGTGGGTGTGGGTGAGAGAGAGAGAGAGCACACATGTGTTTATGGGAAGAAAGAAAAGAAAGGGAGAAAGAGAACAAATGAAAGAAGAATGCAACGGAAGAGGAAAAGTGAGATAAATGAAAGGATAAATGAAGTAGAAATGCACATATCCACATAATATGTATGTATTTATCCTATTTGTATCCTGCCCTTGCTACAAGAACTCCATGCCTGTCAACCCGAGGTTATTCTTCAGGAGCAACCCACTGAGGCTGAGCGATGGAGGCCTCCTAATGGCCCCAGATAACCTAATGAGCTTCATGGCAGAATTGGGGTCGTGAAGCCAGTAGGATGAAGATGCTGAGGAGAGAGACCAGAGGATGAGTAGAAATAGAAGAATGGAAGAAAACAAAAAGCAAGAAAGCAGTAGACTGAAAGTTCTGTGATGTAGGGCTCTCCAGACTGGTGGGTTCCCCTGCCATGCATGTATTCTGCAGCATGTCATTGATACAACAATAGTGCTTTAGGAGTGGATTTATAATGGACCGTCCACATATCAATCTACTTCATTCGTTTTTCTGCAATGCTTCCCCATAGTTATTTCATTACTGCTGTCTGCAGGGCCATTCTTGAGATATAGTTCATCAAAAGTGGGATAAAAAGGGGATAAATGACAGTATTCTTTGTATGGAAAGCTGCAGGATTTCAGCAGGAAGTTATGGGACATGCACAGACTGAAAACAAAGGAGCAGGGCAGATTCAGCTAACCCGCGGTTTCCCAAACTGGGGTCTCTAGATGCTTTTGGACTACAATTCCCATCATCCCTGACCACTGGTCCTGCTAGCTAGGGATGATGTGAGTTATAGTCCAAAAATAGCTGGAGACCTAAGCTTGGGAAACCCTGAGCCTGAGCTAACACAAGACAGAAGACAGCACAAGGATTCCTGCAAGCACAACAGGACTTTCCCCTCTCTCTTCCCACTGACTGGATACAATCGAACATTGTTTTAAATCAAGATGGCAGACTGAACCTTTTAAAAAACTGCACTGATTATAATCACTGATTTCAAAACTGTTCTGAATTTTGGGCTTCTTAGAATTCCTGAGCAACTCTGCGTATGAGAAGTTATTCCCGCCCCCCCCCCCATAATTTGTGAAATGATGGAGTCAGCCCAAATAGGTACAGGTGATCAAAGGACGTGTCCACTTGCCCATTCCCCTCCAGTTTGCTTTTCAAATTTCATACCTGTCTAAACAAGCAGGCATATCGTGCAATGATCCTATGTGGCTAACATCAAACGCAGCGGAGCAGAGGTAGAGAACCTGTGAGTCTCCAGATGTGTTTGGACAACAGCTTCCATCAGCCGCTGTGCAGCAATAGTATGGGGAGCCACACACTCATGGTTCCTGCAGCAGAGCAATAATCTTTCCCTACAGATCCTGCCTTAATGCTACAAACATCATTAGGTGGCTGTAGGGTGAGAGCGGAACAGCTGCTTGGTTTTGTAGAGCAAACAGGTCAAACATATTTCGAAGCTCACATGGAACAGTCCCAAGACTCCCAACCCTTAGTGCTGACACAGACCAGGAAGAAGATCTAACTCCAGCCATTAGACAAGAAAATAAAATAAGCACACTTAGCACTGATTGCTGATGTAAAGTGCTTATAATGGCAAACAAGCACAGTTGGCTGGAAGAAAATGACTCACCCCGCCCTCGCCCAATTGGTCAGCAAACGCAGTGCTCCAGCCAGACTCCTAAACCACACTTGTTTCCTTCGGCTGGTAAAAGCATAAACAAGCAGCGGGATGGCCTCACCGTGGAGCTCTTCTTCCCCTCCTCTGCTTCTCGCAACCCACTCGCTCGTCTTGCCTTCACCCCTCTTCACCCACCTGGCTGAATCACTTATGCTCCCCTGGAGCAGGCGCCAATCAAAAGCTCCTTGCTCTGCTTGGCAAAGTTTGCAAAAGGTTTACATTCCCTATTAATGAGAGAGTACATGGAAAGTGGCTACAACACAGGAGCTAGAAGTCTTTTTTTAAAAAAAAGTCTCTCACTCTCTTTGTCTCTCTCTCTCTCCACCCCAATCCCATTTCATTAGTTCTTTTTTTAAAAAAAGAAAAAAGCCCAAGTGCATGTCTGCTTTTAAATTCAAATGTGCAATATGGGCCAGTGCCTCAGAGCTGGAAGGAAACAGCAAATCTGGGCAAGGAAACAAGGAATATTTCACTTCAGCTCAGTCCAAACCATCTTGATTTATTCAGCATTCTGCATGGAGTGATGGGAGGGGGGTTGAGAGAGAGAGAGAGAGAATACCACATCCAAGGGCTTGGCAGCTTTAGCAGTAAAACCTGTTCTGAATGCCCAGCACAATGGGCAGGTTACAATGGGAAGGGAGAGAGGGGGAGAGAAGGAAGGAATGCTTCAAGATGCCCAAAGGCTCAAGGGGGACCCTGCAAAGCCATGCCAGGTTCTTGCTTCAGGATTGTTGGCTCCACTCTGATCCGAATCCAATTGTTATCCTTCTGCCTTGGGAATGACCCTTTCAGATCAGCCGAGGTTCTGAGATGGGCTCCACAAAGCCCAATCCGCAACAGAATACGACTCACTTCTAGCAGTGGCAGCAACAAAGAATGTTATTCAGCCTCCATCCTAGCTATGAACAAATCACACTTGGCATCCGTCACAAAAGGCAGGCTGCTCTGAAAGCACGAGCCAGCCTCCTCTTTCTCTCTCTCTTTAACACCAGCAGTGCAGTTGTGATTATTAAATGGGCTCCAATACCAGGTTGTGCTCTTAACCAGGTCGGGGAAGCTCTGTAGCTCAGCGGCAGAGCACCTGCCCTGCATGCAGAAGGTCCCAGGCTCAATGCCCAGCATGTCCAGGCAGGGCTGGGAATGTCACCTGCCTGATATTCAAGAAAGCTGCTGCCAGTTAGTGAAGACAATACTGAGCTTGATGGACCTGTGGGCTGACACAGTGCAAGGCAGCTTCCATATGGCCAGAGGCAGAAGAGTTTCTATGCCATTAGGAGATGTATGCAAGAAGGAATTTCTTCAACTTCTCATGCAAGTGGCGCTGCGAAATACCCTCTTCTACACGACCATTAAAGATGCAAAAGGGTTTTCCTCCATTGCACTTAGGCACCCTGCTATGATCACCATATTTTACAAGGGGCACCTACAGCTCCCACAGGTAATGTCTGCAACCATTTTACTGTTCATTTCACTCCTGGACAGTCAATAACCTTATTCAGAAGTAATCTTGAAATGAATTAGGAGTCTCATGTCTCCCAGATTATATGATAGCATAGGGGTTTCTCCAAGCTCAATCATTCCCCTTCCTCATTTTGAAAGATGATAATAGCAATGAGGCTAAAATTTTGTAGGTAGCGCCCCTATTTTCAGCACAACCACAGGGTAAGATATTTGTGCTTTAAAAGATAGGTTTTCTTTATCAGTAACAGAAAAGCAGAGTCCTGTTTAATCAAAGCAAGCAGAAGAAACCTGAAGACACATTTCTGGCTTAGTGCTCTTCTTACCCTGGGATCTTATTAGTACAGGCTACAACTGGTCTAATGCTGCCTATTGGTTCCATATTTCTAAAGCAGAGACAAGCAGCTAGCTAATAGCAGCAGGCTCTGTGAACCTCCAAGATGGCTCTGGGTCATGATGAAACAAGAATTAAGACAGGCAAGTGTCCCTGTGAGAGAACAGATGGAATCTACAGCAGGCCTTTCTAAACAGTACCTTAGAAGTCACATGTCTCCACATGGCACACCAGTAGATTCTAAAGTAGGGATGGGGTACCAGTGGACCCTCGAGATGCTGTTGAACTCTAACTCCCACCAACATGAGGACCAATGGTCAGGGGTGATGGGAATTGTAGCTCAGCAACACCTGGAGGGAAACAGGTCCCCCATTTCTGTCCTAGAGCATCTTTCGTGATTCATCGTTTCATACAATGAGGTACCATTGCACATGTTGGCCCAGTGGGCACAGGAAGAAAAACCAGTGGTCAGTCGGAATTTATGGTCAATTATCTGGCTCAAGAAGGAGCAGTCTTAAAGGGTCTATCAGGCCCATTCTCATGAGGGGTAAGAACAGAGACACATAGATACTAAAAACAGGAAGAGGGACTATTGCTTACACAACATTAACAGGCAGGAGGGTCAAGGCATGGAAGCAACTGCAAGCAGATTTGGAGGCAACGTGAATCCTTTTCCTGAACTTGCCCAAATATCAGTGCTATCACCAGCAAACTCCCCTTTCTTTTTCAGCATCATATCCAAAAGTGAGATGGAAACCATCTTGACTAGGACAACAGCTCCCTTGAGCATGCCTGCATCCTGAAAACATCTCACAGAACACCAGATCCTTTTTTATGACATCTGGTTGACATTATGTAAATACTGAGGCTGAGTCATCTCAGGGACAGTGTCTTGTTGAGTCATAGCTGGGATCTTGGAAGGGGGTATTAGTCCCTTTAATATTTGATGTGCTCAATTAGCAATGTCCATAACGGAACACTCTTGGGAAGGCAAGGTAGTTCCTGGCGTGTAAAAACACCTGCAATGCTGGACACCTCACCCTGCTTCTCAAGACTGAATAATTAATGCTAGCATTAAAGCCAAAGTGGTCTAAAACAGAGATAACAAACCCTCGTGAACATCTGAAGCTATCCAGCACTGTTTTAGTGGTCAAAGCAATTCTTCTTCCTTGATGTACTCTGGTAACTCGTGCAGACTTTCAGTCTATTCAAGTGCAAGAGTCTAGTCTTCACGGTTTTGGGTTTTTTTAGAAGCATATCTGAAAATATGTTGGCAGAGGTCTCTGAAAGGCTCCTGTGTTCAAGGGTGTTGTTAACGTGCTTTTGCAATAATTGGAGTTGGGTTGATGGGAGATCGTATTATGAATACCTGCAACTGATTTCAATTTCCCAATTTGCTTTCTTAATATAATTTTTCTCTCCATCCCACTTCAAACAATCATTATTACTACATTTTACGAATGGATTCAATACTAAAAATCTAATAACCTGCTGTAGATACATTGCGGAATTGAAATGATGCAGTAATCAAGGTTGATTTGCAATTAGAAAGAGGCCTCTTTTGGCTGCTTCCAGAACTGATACGCTCATCCTGACTGAGCAAGGCTGCCTTTGCAATAGCACGCAAAAAAACAATCAAATCAGTGCCTTGGGGGTTGCAGCTCTAAGGCATAAGAATGGAGTCGGGCGTCTTTCCGCAGGACAGGGCTTCCAAAAGGGAGAGCAGGTGTGATGCGGAGGGAGGAAGCCAGACAAAGGGATGGGAAATGGACAAATGGAGAGTGGCAAAGTACAAGATAAGGACTGTTGGGGACTGATTGCAATGAAGGCTTTCTCTGGAGGCATGACTGCCATCTGCTGGTCAAAGACTAGAATAGATTTCTGGCACATTTAAAGTGATAAACATTTGCATCCCCTTCCACAAACCACTTATTTTCCTTCATACACATAGAAACATGTACACAGTCTCTGTCAAACACATGCACATATACCTTTGTACATATAAACACACCTTTCTGTAAATCGGACCATGCATATAATCTCATCCTGCTTTATAGACATAGTGCTAAAAAAAAACTTTCCTCTGCTGCGTGCATCTATACACATGCATGCGTACACTCATCTACCTACTAATATACAAGTAGAAACATAAAGTGACCTTCTACATAATCTTGCTCATGTACAGGAGTGTTTACAGTGAGAGAAAGAAGTGCCCTCAAGCCTCCTTCAAACCAGACTTCTAAAGCCCTTTTCACTTGTTCGGTGATCACAGAGGAGGGAAGGAGGGGAGACTGGAATTTTGCCCACTGTCCTGTCTTCTGTGCATTCCTCTGAAGGCCCAAATAAAGCTTCCATGCATAGAGACTGTTCATGCACAGGTTCTCTGCAAAAGGCAGCAAGTCCTGGTTGTGTGTACAGAGCCCATAATTTCGGTAATGTGGCAACCATCAGAATAATTTGTTGACGTCAGAAAAGAGGACACCAGACACAATCCTGAAGGTGTGAAAAGTCCTTAGATGGATAAGGAACAAATAGGAGATCTGGGTCGATTCACATCTTAGGCAGGTAAATATATCTCATCTATAAAATGGGGATAACTCTTGCAGAGATGATACAAGGAGAATTAAGTACAGTACTGTACTAAGTACTAAAGAGCCAGTGTGGTGTAGTGGTTAAGAGCGGTAGTCTCGTAATCTGGGGAACCGGGTTCGCGTCTCCGCTCCTCCACATGCAGCTGCTGGGTGACCTTGGGCCAGTCACACTTCTTTGAAGTCTCTCAGCCCCACTCACCTCACAGAGTGTTTGTTGTGGGGGAGGAAGGGAAAGGAGAATGTTAGCCGCTTTGAGACTCCTGAAGGGGAGTGAAAGGCGGGATATCAAATCCAAACTCTTCTTCTTCTTCTCTTCTACTACAGACTCCTGTAATAAAAGCTGAGGAGCTATAGGATTCAGCAGAAGCCTTACCCCCAGGATGCAAGACAAGCCCCCCCCCCCGGCACCACGACTGTAGAAGTCTCTAGTGCGGCCACTGCTAGCCTTGTTTGGTAGGCTCCATTTAACGGGGAATGTCATCCAAAGGACATGCATGTTGGCTGAGGTTTTCTGATTCATGGCTCAGTCTTTTAGTCACCATGCTCCACCAGCTCAGGCTGACCAAGCTGCTTTGTAGGTCCATGTGGAAAAGTCCTTTAATGTTAGCTCTTGACGGGGCAGAGCTGCAACAATAGCCTCCTGGCTGCAGTGTCACTGCATATCAGGACAGGGAGGACCAAAGCAGCAGTGATATGATGCTCCCACTGGTGCATAATTGCACAGCTCAAACCTCAGATGCCCCTGCCTCTCTTTTCTGGTAAGTGGCAGCAATGCTGGGGTCAAGTGGCTATTGCTGTAGCTCCACCCCACCTGATTCTCAAAAAAAATCTCATTGATTGCTGTGAAACGATATGATCTACAAACCCAGCAGATTTTCAGAGGCATGTGCAAACATGATTTAATGTTCAAGTCCTTACTCTCAATGAAACTCTTTTGGATTGTTGTGAACTATGCACCCAGATCACCTACCACACAGTCTTTCCCTTGGTGAGCAATCTTCCCCCTAACTGAGTTCATTCTTGATTGCTCCTTGCAAATATTTTTCCTGATTTGCTAGCTCCAATTCAGATCTAAAATATTATCTCATTCCTAGCAGCAGCTGATGTGATGAGGCAGAGTCACTCTCTTGACATCAGCATTGCTGCAGGGCGGGGCAAGGCAGCGGCAAGATTGGGAGTGCTGGATTGACTCCACTGGTGCATCTGTGCGGTGTTGACCTTACCCCTGCCCCACCCCCACTGAGGTAAGCTACAGCAATGTTGGTGTTGAGAGGGGAAGTCTATACTTCTGCCTCACCACACCTTCTGCTACTGCAGGAGGTGGTGGTAGCAGGGTGAATTTGCAAGCAGCTCTCTGCGATTGGTGTTAGGATCTGCAGTTCCCAGCAGGAAATGCACACGAGCACAGCACTACCAGCACAAAGGTACAAGCATTATGAACCAGAAGAGAACTTTTTAAATGCTCTCCAAGAAAGCTCAGAAATATTAAGCCAATTCTGAATCAAGAGGAATAGAGTTGACCCACCATTAACTCCATCAGGACTCGGTGGAAACCACAAGCAATCTCACCTGGCCCTGTAGACCCTCACAAACACTACCAACCAGATCCTACAGGACACCTGTCACAAGTGTCACTTAACAAGCCAGCCATACGCATCAATCCCTTTGGGCTCAAAATGCATTACTAAAGCACTTGTGTCCTTGGCATGCACAGCTACCTTCCATGGCAAAGTTGGAAAAAAGTAAAGACTCT